AAAATCGATATTTTGGCAGTTTCCACTCGCTTTGACGACAATATTTGAATTTTTGAGCTGAAAACCAATTTTTCGCATTTTTAGCTCAAAATTCGAGATCCGTCGTAAAAGCGAGTGCTTTCTGTCGGTGTTTGCACAGAATCCAAAATACAGTAATCCGAGCGTTTTAAAATCGATTTTCGGGGGGGGGGGGGAGGTAAAAACGATGGGGGAAAGTGCTTTTTTTGCAGTTTTCGACTTTGAAAATTTGAATTAGCATGTGAAAATATCGATTTTTTCGAGTTAATTTTTTTTTAGGTAAAAACCCAATTTTCTCTTTTTCTCTCGAGAGAATAAATCGAAAAAGAAATTGGAATTTTGAAAAAAAAACCGGTTTTCTTTTTTTCAAAAATTAGTGGTGATAATTTGATAAGGATAAAGAATTTTTCCAATTAACTTTGAAAGACAAAAAAAAACGATGAAAAATCGACAATTTTTTAATTAAAACATTTTTTCAAAAAAATGGAAATTTCAGCATGAAAACAGCACTTTTTGGTTGAAAATATATCTCAAAATCGCCTCAAAACAGTTTCATTTCATTTAAAAAACCCAAAAAATACAAAAAAAAAGAGGAAAAATGAATGCGAATGACACAAGATAGAGGGAGAGAGAGGGGAGACGCAGAGAAACGCGGGGACGAGAGATCACTAGAAATAAGGAGAGTGCAGAGAACGAGGAGGAGGCAGTTGGTGCATTAAAAAAGACGTCCTTCTTCTGGTCGTGTGTGTTGTTGATGTTGACGGTTCTCAGTCGAGGTTTTGTGGTCACTGAAAAGAGGAGAGACATTTCAGAACTGCGACGTTTTAGAACTTTTTTGCCGGTTTTTGGGCCTATTTTGGACCCTATCAGGCCATTTTAAGCCAATTTTAAGCCATTTTCTGGGTAATTTCAGCTAAAATTCTGCTATTTTTTAGCGCATTTTCAAGCTTTTTAAGCCTAGCGTAAAACCTCTATTAGAAGGGTCGGCCCTTCTAATACAGGTTTTACGGTATTTTAAGCTATTTTCAGCCATTTTTAGGCCAATTTAGGTTACCGTAAAACCTCTAATAGAACGACACCCGGATCGTCCACTTTGAGCCTATATATCTCATTTTCTGTGAAAGATATCAAAAAGTGGCTAACTAGTAAAATGTTGCTGATAACCTGATAAACATTTCACTAGTTAACCGCTTTTTGATATCTTTCAAAAGAAGTGAGATATATAGGCTC